CGGCGCGGCGCGTGTCGCGTTTAATCGCATATTTATTCACGAACGCTCTCGCGAGATACCTCTCTCCGCGAAATTTTTTTAATGCTAATTACGTCGCACGTAGCGGTTTTAACGACGATAAAAACGAGCGAAACGTTTGGATAAACGGTCATCCTCTCGTCAGAAGAAACGTCGCATCAACAAAAGAGATCGTTGTTTTATCTGAATATTTTATAATAATGCGTCAAATTAACGGAAAATATAATTGCAAATTATTATAATTAAACGTAAAAAATGTGTACAAGATACGATACAATTTGTAAAGGGTGTCTATTCCTTGAAAAAACATGGAAAACTTGGAATTGAAGGAATTTTTTTGTACCTGGAGAAATCAGGGAATTCTCAAAAAATTTTATTGGGACTCGGGGAATTTTTTAAAAAATTCTCTCTTTAATCATACTGTAAGCAGTAGGCAATCTACCAAAATATATTATAAATATATATCAATCTCTGTTTATATATATTTAATATCTTAATAAAATATTGAATATGCAGTACATTTTCTAAATTTTAATTTTTAGTAATAAAAAATGAAAATGTTATACAAATTAAAAATTTTTATCTTAACAAAAGCTATTCAGTTTTTTGTACTTGGAAAATCAGGGAATTTTTTTTACAAAATTTGAATAGACATCCTGTTGTATTATTTTTGTCAATTTTATTGATTATATTTTTTTTTTATTAAATACGATAATTTATATTTATAACTTTTTTAAATTTATACTCATGAGTAAAAAGTAATTAAGGCATTGTGTAAACAAATCGCTCCAACGCTCACATATTTAGATAATATTAATCAAATTAGTATTATTTTTGTATCAGTTTGTACATTGATGTCTGCAACAGAATTTTATTTGTTGCGGCTAATACAGTAATTTAAAAAGTCGGCATCGATCAAAACAACTTGCAACTTGGTTACCTGACGTTGCCTAATTAATACGCAGATCTAATTACCTAATGATAAACTTAACAGATAAACGTCAACATCAAGCAGCAAACATACAAATATTGATCATTGATTATAAACTTGCGGTCGCACATTGATCCATTTCTCGCGGTATATACAGCGAGAAGCAATCAAATTCTCCTTTGCAATTACATGATGCAGATTTCAAAAACCGACATAAATATGAAAATAAATAACAATCTTTTATTTATATTTTTTCTACGCCCGTATACATTTTTTATAACATCAGAAACGGATGATAATTTTTTGCGCGATCTAAGACTAATAATTTTAGAGGCCTTTCAACAGGGACATAACTAAAAAAGGATGTGTTATAAATGAAAAACAGAAAGGTTTCTCTCTTTTTATGATATACACAATAAATAGGAATTTAACAGATATAATATATTTCTGAACAAGATTTTACTGTGTATAGATTGTTGACGATTGGAGTCTTAAATTTTACTAATCTTTCTATAAATTTACCTCTAGATTAAATGTTAGAGGAAAGATACCAAGATAGATTTTCTAAACCGGCTATCTTTATTTCTCGGCGATTAAATACGCTGCACTTTTTATCAGATAACTGATATGAACTTGGTCTGCTTACTTAGTTTACTTATCAGAAGCACATGCTTATTGGTTGCTCGTTTATATACTGAATCGACTTGCATCGAATTCCTAAAGCTTGAAAGATTTTTTTTCCTTTTTTGTAAATTTTTTAACGAATCACAATCAAGAAAATAAATAAGAATAAGTGTTTATTATGATATTATCTTTATCTGTTTAATTTCTGTTCTTGTGTTTATTGCTTTTAGAGGAAAGTTACATTAGATATTTTATAAAATGATACACTTTCTGTGTGCTTAGTATATCGATATAATCTAATTTTTTTTTTTTTTTTTTTTGAAATATCAGTTTCTGTATCAGTTTAAAAAATATAAATAAATATTGTATTGGCTGATTTTATTATATATTTTTTTTTTATATCTCGCATAAAAAGTTTTAGTTTTAAAGATAAGAACAAATATTCTTATTTAAAAATGTTTGTATGTCGGTCTTCGATAACCAATTTCTCAATTTTTATCTGCTTTTAAAAAGGGTTATTCTCTTAAAGAAACATGCAATAGTTTTAAATAGTGTTAAAACTCTGATACAACTTTATAAAAAAAAAAAAAGCTGTCTCTAATATAAATATCTGTAGAGAGATATAAATTTTCATTTAAAATGTTTAACTAAGGGATAAAATGAAAAAGTAAAATAGTATACATACATATATCGGTTTGGGTACATCCACCCCTCCCTTTCCGTCCCAAGTAACACGTTACGTCGAATGGATCGAGACTATATGCGTGCAAGGTGCATCAAAAATGAGTACTCTTGGCTGAGCTGCGTGCATTGATCCGTTTGTCTCTTGATGCTTTCAGTGAGTGGGAGGACGGGGACCGGCGGTGCGCCCCTTTACGGGCGCCTGGTGGCCGAGGAGCCCATGCCCTCCGCGGTATGCGGTGGTGCCGGTGCCGCGGGTGGCGGGGCTGCCGGCGGGGTCCCGCAGGAGACCCCCTCGGACATTCACGCCATGCAGGCCAGGATACCCCACAGGTTTCGCGATCCAGCGACGGCGCCCCTCAGGAAACTCAGCGTCGACCTCATCAAGACCTACAAACACATCAACGAGGTAAGGCCCCTTTCGCATGTGCTCTGTCGATTTTTTGTATATCTTGTATATATCTCTCTCGCGATTTTAAGGATGTTTTGGCTGTAAAATAGTAACAAAAAACTGTCAAAATTAAAAAAATATATATTTTTTACATTTATACTGTTTGAAAAATCAAATAAATAAATTCGGATTATAAAAAGAATTAAAATATCATAAAATAATATGGTTTTTAACAGAAAATTGTTTTAATTAATATTTTTTAAATTTATGATAAATATTTTGATCGTGAATACCCCCTAAAATCAACTGTAAGAAACAAAAAAAACAAGTAATTTACAGAAAGAGAGAGAAAGATAATATTTTTTTACAATTTTTAGAGTAAATAACTTTTAAACGAGTAAATGGATCTAAATAAAGTTTTGCACAAATATTTATTAGAGTTTTCTTAATATATGTGAAAATTTTTATTTCGTTGGCAATGTTTTTTCCTTGTTAAATTTGTCAATAAGTGCTACAATACGCGATTTTCCATAAGAATCAATACTAACTTTATACTTAAATAATTTCCAAACCGTTAAGAGAATTGTGCTCAGGTTTTGCACAGATACTCAGAAGAAATAGTAAAACAGTCTACGAAATTTTCATGCTTTTATCAATGTTTTGACATATGACACATGCATCTTTTCTTCATAATAAAATAGTAAATTTATATTTTTGTTTTTCTTAAATATTTTAGCTTAAATTTTACTAAAGGACACATATCAAGAAGAATTAAAGTCCTTATTTAACATTTATATTTAAATTATGTGTGCAGAGAGCATATTATTATTATACTAGTTGTCGTCGTATCAAAAATTTTGTGACAACGCTACAATTTTTGCAAAAACGATATCCAAAGTAGCAAAGAAAGAGAGAGAGAAAGACATCCGTTAACTTACATCAGGTTCCTCTTATTATTTCATTTTTTATTCAAACGCCGAAATATAATTGTGGAAAGTTTCCGGGGTTAAAAGCGATTCTCGCCCGAACGGAGTTCTTATATCGACCAGGGACGGAGATTGAGATATCCGAAAATAAAGTTACAGGGTTACCACGTGCATTGTTTGTTCGGTTACTCCCACACTTTGCGCGAAATGTGATAGATGCGCGTGTCTATATCTGGATTATGAGAAAATAGTCTATCGAAACTTATCGTGAACCGATTGCAAAATTAGGGGGAAAGCTTAGGATGTTATGATAATGAGAGGATAGTTTGCTATATATAATTTATAATATAATACAATGTTTAGAGCAGACGATTAAACTAGTACCCAAAAAATTTCTTATTTAGAGCTAATAAATTCAAATTTTAATCTAGATTTAGATTAATATAAATTTATTATGTAAATGTTATAGAAATAATTATTTTGATCTTCCCTTGATATTAAAATACACGTTACTTCTATCGATAAATAGCAATATATAAAAGAAAATATAGAAGCGATCAGCAATTTCTTTCTACTTGTAAACAATTTAATTTGATTGTATTTATATATATTTCGTATTTGTAGGCAAATTATAAAACAATTTTTTTACAAAAAATCTGCAATGTATTTATATAATCTTCATCATTCTCAATAACATTCAAGCCACTCTTTTTTCTTTCATTCTTCAAATGTTTTTAAATAATTTGTAAATTGTTTCGGATCGTATTTTCCAAGAAAAAAGATTTATCAATCTACTCGCGTGTAAAATATCTTTTATATAAAATATCTTTCTTTTTACAACCATGTGCTCTTCATTATGAAGTTTTTAAGTCGGGTTCTTTTCAATAAATTAATCAGTAATTATCGAAATCTATAAATAATACTGTAGTAAGAAATCAAAAGTTAAGATTTTATTTTCAAACAAACCAACTAGCGAAGATCGTAAAATGCAGATTGTTTATCCTCCGATATCGGACAATCATAGCGTGCGATTGTAAGCGACAATTATCTGGTCGTGTAGTGAAAAAAGTGAATGGATGGCGAAATCGCGATAGCCTGGGAGCTTCCGTCCCTCGCGACTGTCACAGCTGATTGGACAATTATGGCATCACGGATGACGTCAACGATAATGTAAACGTATCTCTCGTAAATGTATGGGACAAAGATGGGATCGCGAGTCGGCGGAAAGTCGCGGCGCCCACGCGCGAGAGAAACGAAATATGTATGTATGTAGTTCAGGAGGCTGCTTCTTGGATCGCCCCATCGCGAGCGTGTAACGTGGGAGGAACATGGAGCTTATTTGTGCGCCTTATACGAAAAGCCGTTAGACTCTTACCGCATCGTAGAGATCGCGTTTCGCCTTTATTTTTTAACGTGAATCACTAGTGATGGGTGTCTGAATTTTCTTTTTTTTTTTTTTTAATTTTTACAAACTCTAAAGGATTATTTATTTTTATAAGTATTTATGAATTTATACAATAATAATTTTTAATCAAACACAATTATTTATAAAGTATTTCTCACGATGGAAAATCCATTAAATATTTAATATCTTTAATAAAAATAAGAAATTTTTTTACATAATAATTTTATATTAATATGTAATAAAAAACAATAGTGTTGATTATATCATTCAAGTCCTTCAAAATTTCCTTGGAATTTGAATAATATTCCAAATAATTCGATGTTTATAATAACGATGTTTTGTGTGCCTTGAGTTCATCGCTGATCATTAGTGATGGGTGTTTGAATTTTCTTTTCTTTTTGTTTAAATTTTTAGACAAACTCTAAAGGATTTTTATTTTTATAAGTATCTGTGAATTTATATAATAATAATTTTTAATCAAACATAATTATCCATCAAGTATTTTTCACGATGGAAAATCCATTAATTCTTTAATAATCATTTTGCATAAAAATAAGAAATTTTTTTATATAATAATTTTATACTAATATGTAATAAAAAAACAATAGTGTTGATTTAGTCTAGAATTTTTATATCATTCAAGTCCTTCAAGATTTCCTTGATTTTGAATAATATTCCAAATAATTCGAATTTTACTTTATGTATTTCTAATGATACGATGTTTTGTGTGTCTTGAGTTCATCATTAATCATTAGTAATGGGTATTTGAATTTTCTTTTTTTTTTTTTAGGTTTTCAAACAAACTTTAAAGGATTTTTATTTTTATAAGTATTTGTAAATTTATAAATAATAATTTTTAATCAAACATAATTATCCATAAAGTATTTCTCACGATGGAAAATTCATTAAATATTTAATATCTCTGCATAAAAATAAGAAATTTTTTTACATAATTTTATACTAATATATAATAAAAAACAATAGTAATTGATCTAGTCTAGAACTTTTATATCGTTCAAGTTCTTCAAGATTTCTTTGATTTTGAATAATATTCCAAATAATTCGAATTTTATTTTATGTATTTCTAATATTATGATGTTTTATGTATCTTGAGTCCATCGCTAATCATTAGACAACGATTTTAATCATAAAAATAACAAATTTAGCGCGGGGAGAGATTGTTCAATACACGTTTAGTAATTAAAATAAATAATTATCGAAAATCCTTTATTATTCGGCTAAATTTTTCGATTAGATTATTCGCTATAATTATATACATGCGTCGATTAGGATCGATGCGATTGACGCAAGCGACATTTCCGTATTCCCGAAGGACAAATTATCGGCGATCGAAGTATGTGCGCGCGCGCATATTCCAAGTCTGATAAGATGCGTGGCCTGCCGTTGCATCAAAGCCGTGGCATTTTATCAAGGAAACAACGTCGATGCGCTATCAATCGTCAGATGATTCCTGGCGTGGCGCCGCGATTCTATTTATCCATAACGATCGATCGAGCGCGATCGAAGAGCAATAAGCTCGAGGGGGCTTTGCTATATTTATGGACCGATGATATGTAATTATACGGAATGCCCGGAGAGTCCGCATTGTCCTCGTGATTGTGATATGCGCCTTTCGCGTTGTCAATTCCTTGAATTCTTTAGGGCTTTAAAAATCATTCGCCCGTACAATTTGATATAGCGTGAGATGGACAAGTGGGTCGATCGAGAAGAAAAAGGCCATTTTCCGAAATTACTAAAAGTGTTTCGAAAATGCGAACGATAAGTATAACGGGGCTCAAATACCTTGTGCTCTACCTTGTTGCGGCAGTTTTAGTAATTTCGAAAAATGGTACCCTCGCGATTCTTCCAGATTATTCTATTGTATCGATGAAGAACGTATCTTTAAAGCGGAATATGCCATATGAGCTCTATTTCTACTAAAAAATTTTATACTTCTAAATTATTTATTTTTGCGGATGTATTTCAAGTTGGAGAGAATTGTATAAACAGAGTGTCTACCCCCTGGAAAAAAACATAGAAAACCTGGAATATTCAGGGAATTTTTTGGGGACTCAGGGAATTTGAAAAAAGTTCTCTAATTTAGTAGTTGAAACATAAATGGCTCTGTGTTTTTCTTTTGTATGAGTGAAAAACAGAAAACGCGTTACAATAAAAAAACTTATTTTAGGTAATTGCATCAAAAAATCTTTAAAATATTTTCTTTACCTGGAATTTTGAACAAAAATAGCTGGAAGATGAGGGAATTTTCAGGGAATTTTTTTACCAGATTTGAGAGTAGACACTAATAAAATTAATAAAATAAAAGTAAAGCCTACACACACACATTTGTGACATTAACTCGATATATGTATGTGTATAATATATATTTGCGCTCGGGGAAGCTTGAAACATCTCACTTTCAATCGTACTATATATATATACTTACTTTTATTAATAATAAATAATTAATAATAATTAGCGCTTCGCATCTCGAAAGTTCATTTCTCGTGATCGATTGATCGATCGACTTAATGGGTCGAGAATTCTGTCGAAAACTCGACTCCCGCCAAAGAGATTCGCGCTTGGTAACCCAAGTGGTCGACCGAAGCCATTAACATATCCAAAGTGGTAACTGGTAAGCGGTAAGAAGGCCAAAAAGAGAGGAGAGAGAGAGAGAGAGATCGACA